GTGCTGAGGTAGGATTCTCTTGTTTTGCCCATGTTTGGATCTGGATCACAGTTCTGGTTGGTGGTCCTGGGATGAGGAGGAGTGGTGGCATGGTGGAGCTTGTAGTGGTGGTGGAGAGGGAATCCTCCTCACAGTTCCAAGGCAGGAAAGAGTACCCGTGGTCAATCACAGACCAGACTATAGGCCAAGAAAGGAGTAAACACCTCACCTTTGATCATACCACCTTGGAAGAACTGAAAATTTACGGGTCCCTAGAAGCATCTCTGAAAACAGCTGCACAAAACACCCAAAGCTTGGGACAGTACATTCTCCACATTGGAAGCAGAGCCCTACCTTAACAAAGAGTTTATAACTCAACTAATTAGCAAACTGTGCAAAAAAAATGTCAGACCATAGAATCTTTCTTTGGTGACAGAGAAGATCAAAATATACAACCAGGAGAAGACAACAAAGTCAAAGTCTCTACATCCAAAGCCTCTAGGAAAAATATGAATCAGTCCCAGGCCACAGAAGAGCTCAAAAAGGATTTTGAGAAGTAAGAGAAGTAGAGGAAAAACTGGGAAGAGAAATGAGAATGATGCAAGAAATCATGAAAAACAAGTCAACAGCTTGCTAAAGGAGATCCCCAAAAATACTGAAGAAAATAACACCTTAAAAAGCAGACTAAGCCAAATGGCAAAAGAGGTCCAAAAAGTCAATGAGGAAAATAATGCCTCAAAATGCAGAACTGGACAAATGGAAAAGGAAGTACAAAAGCTCAATGAAAAAATACTTCCTTAAAAATTAGAATGGAGCAAATGGAAGCTAATGACTTTATGAGAAATCAAGAAATTGTAAAACAAAACCAAAAGAATGAAAAAATAGAAGACAATGTGAACTATCTCATTGGAAAAACAACTGACCTGGAAAATAGATCCAGGAGAGATAATTTAAAAATTATTGGGCTACCTGAAAGCCATGATCAAAAAAAGAGCCTAGACATCATCTTTCAAGAAATTATCAAGGAAAACTGCCCTGATATTCTAGAACCAGAGGGCAAGATGGAAATTGAAAGAATCCACCAATCACCTCCTGAAAGAGATCCCCAAAAGAAAAACTCATAGGAATATTATAGTCAAATTCCAGGGTTCCCAGGTCAAGGAAAAAATACCGCAAGCAACCAGAAAGAAATAATTCAAGTATTGTGGAAACACAAACATGATAACACAAGATTTAGCAGCTTCTACATTAAGGGACCGCAGGGCTTGGAATATGATAATCTGGAGGGCAAAGGAGATAAGATTACAACCAAGAATCACCTACTTAGCAAAACTGAGTATAATTCTTCAGGGGAAAAAATGGACATTCAGTGAAACAGAGGACTTTCAAGCATTCTTGATGAAAAGACTAGAACTAAATGGAAAATTTGACTGTCAAATACAAGACTCAAGAGAAGCATGAAAAGGTAAACAGGAAAGAAAAATCATAAGGGACTTATTAAAGTTGAATTGTTTACATTTTTACATGGAAAGATGATATTTACAACTCATGAGACCCTTGTCAATATTATGGTAGTTGGAAGGAAAATGTTTATGTACATATATATATATATATAGATAGATAGATAGATAGATAGATAGATAGACTGATAGATAGATAGAGGGCACAGGGTGAGTTGAAGATGAAGGGGTAACATCTAAAAAATAAAATTAAGGAGTGAGAGAGGATTATACGAGGAGAAGGAGAAAGGGAGAAGTAGAATGGGGCAAATTATCTCACATAAAACAGACAAAAAAAAGCTTTTACAGTGGAGGAGAAGTGTAAGGTGACAGTGAATGAGTGAATCTTATTCTCATCAGATTTGGCCTAAGGAGGGAATAACATACACACTCAATTGGGTATGGAAATCTATCTTACCCTACAGGAAAATAGAGGGGAAGGAGATAAGAGGTGGAAATGATAGAAGGGAGTGCATATGGGGGGAGGTGGTAAACAGAAGCAAACACTTCCGAGGAGGTACAGGGTCAAAAGAGAGATTAGAATAAATGGGGGGGCAGATAGGATGAAGGGAAATGTAGTTAGTTTTCCACAACATGACTACTATGGAAGTGTTTTGCATGACTACACATGTATAACCTGTATTGAGTTGCTTGCCTTCTCAATGAAGGTTGGTAGGGAGGAAGAAAGGGAGAAAATTTGGAACCCAAAGTTTTAAAAACAAATGTTAAAAATAGTTTTTACAAGCAACTGTGAAATAAGATATACAGGTAATGGAATACAGAAATCTATCCTGCCCTACAGGAAAACAGAAGGGGAAGGGGATAAGAGAAGGTGGCATGATAGAAGGGAGGGCAGATTGGGGAAGGGATATTCAGAATGCATACCATCTTGGGGTAGGGAGAGGGGTGAGATGGGGAAAAATTTGGAACTCAAAATCTTGTGGAAGTGAATGTTGAAAACCAAAAATAAATATCTAAATAAAAAAAAAGAAAGAAAGAACAGAGTCAATAGCTTGGTAAAGGAGACACAAAAAAATACTGAAGAAAATAACACCTTAAAAAGCAGACTAAGCCAAATGGCAAAACATGTCCAAAAAGTCAATGAGGAAAAGAATGCCTTAAAAAGCAGAAATGGCCAAATGGAAAAGGAGTTCGAAAAGCTCAATGAAGAAAATTTTAAATATTAGAATGAATCAAGTGGAAGCTAATGACTTTATGAGAAATCAAGAAACAATAAAACAAAACCAAAAGAATGAAAAAATAGAAGACAATGTGAAATATCTCATTGGAAAAACAACTGAACTGGACAATAGATCTAGGAGAGATAATTTAAAAATTATTGGAATACCTGAAAGCCAAGATAAAAAAAAGAGCCCAGATATCATCTTTCAACAAATTATCAAGGAAAACTGTCCTAATATTCTAAACCAGAGGGTAAAAATAGAAATAGTAAGAATTCACTGATCACCTTCTGAAAGAGATTTCAAAATGAAAATTGCCAGGAACATAACAGCAAAACTCTAGATTTCCCAGGTCAAGGAGAAAATATTGCAAACAGCCAGAAACAAACAATTCAAGTATTGTGCAGTCACAATCAGGATAACACAAGACTTAGCAGTTTCTAAAGGATCAAAAGCCTTGGCATATGATATTCCAGAGGTCAAAGGAGTTATGATTACAACCAAGAATCACCTACTCAGCAAAACCTGAGTATAATCCTTCAGGAGAAAAAACTGACATTCAGTGAGACAGAGGACTTTCAAACATTCTTGATAATGAGACCAGAGCTGAATAGAAAATTTGACTTTCAAATACAAGACTCAAGAGAACCATAAAAAGGTAAACAGGAAAAGGAAATCATAAGGTACTTAATAAAGTTAAACTATTTACATTTTTACATGGGAAGATGATATTTCTAACTCATAAGATCTTTCTCATTATTAGGTAGTTAGAAGGAGTATATATAGACAGAGGGCACAGGTTTGAGTTCAATATGAATGGATGATATCTAAAAAATAAAATGAAGGAATGAGAGAGGAATGTACTGTGAGGAGAAAGGGAGAAGTAGAATGGGGTAAATTATCTCACATAAAAGAGGCAAGAAAAAGCTTTTACAGGGGGGGGGGGGGAGAAAGAGGAGGTGAGGGAAAGTGAGTGAACCTTATTCTCATCAGAATTGGCTCAGAGAGGGAATAACATACACACACAATTGGGTATAGAAATCTATCTTACCCTAAAGGAAAGTAGGAGGGGAAAGGGATAATGGAAGGGGATGGGGTATGATAGAAGGGAGGGCAAATTTGGGGAGGAGGTAGTCAGAGGCAAAACACTTTTGGATAAGTAATTAAAGCTATTTATAGCCATATGAGAAAATATTCTAACTCACTATTGATTGGAGAAATGCAAATTAAAACAATTCTGAGGTACTGCCTGTATGAGGCAGTTAGATTGTCTAATAGGACAGAAAAGGTAAATGACAAATGTTGGAAGGGATTTGGGAAAAATGAAACATTAATACACTGGTGGTGGAGTTGTGAATGGATTCAACCATTCTGTAGAGCAATTTGGAACTATACCCAAAGCACTATAAAACCAGGCTTATTCTTTGACCTAGCAATACCACAACTAGGTCTACATCCCAAAAGAGGAAAAAAAAACCAAAAAGGTAAAGGACCTATTTGTACAAAAATATTTATAGCAGCTCTTTTCTGGGGGTAAAGAATTAGAAATTGAAGGGATACCCATCAAGTGAGGAATGGCTGAACAAGCTGTGGTACATGATTATGATAGAATACTATTACACTCTAAGAAAAGATGAACAGAATGCTCTCAGAAAAACCTGGAAAACCTTGCATGGGGTGATGCAAAATGAAATGTACTGTGTACAAAGTAACAGCAATATTGTAAGATAACCAGTTCTGAATGACTTAGCTATTTTCAGTATGATGAAAAATGCTATCCATTCCCAGAGAAAGAACTGATAGTGTCTGAATACAGATTGAAGCATATCTTTTTTTTTTACTTTGTTTTTCTTGAGTTTTTTTTGGTCTGTGTTTTCTTTCACAACATGACTGTTTGCATGACTACACATATACAACCTATATCTGATTGCTTGCCTTCTCAATGTGGGGAGGGTGGGAAGGCAGAAAGGGGGAGAATTTGGAAGTCAAAGTTTTTAAAACAAATGTTAAAATTGTTTTGACATGCAACTGGGGCAAAATAAAATACTAAATAAATACAAAAATTCTTCTGAGAAGGGATCCATAAGCTTCACCAGACTGCCCAAGGGTTCATGACAAAAAAAGAGTGAAGAACCCCTGCACCACTCCATGATACCTTTATTTCATCTTTAGTATAGGGAATTTCTGCTCTTAAAAATAAGTCATCTAAGTTAGATTCTTATCAGTCTCAATCCAGAGTAGCTACATAGCAAGTCATGTAATTGTCCAAGGTGCAGAAATAAATTTTTTTTAGCACTATCACACCACAGAAAATCAGTATCATGATGTAATGAATCATTACCTGTCCAGCTAACATTTCATATAACAGGACACCATAGGCCCACCAGTCCACAGATTTTCCATACGGCTGATAAGCGATGATCTGTGTGGAGACAAATTGGTACATTTAGTTGTTAATCATGACTTGTACAGAAAACCATTGCAGCGTGCACATGTTTGAGGTGTAACTAAAATGTCATAAGATTGGTTTTGTTGAGACTGTTTTTGAACTTACATACATAAAGGAATACTGCCTTTCTCATACCCTCGTTAGGAATCATAAATCAGTTCCATTGATACTGTCCTTGGTTAGAACATGTTTGGAATTCTTTGGGAACCGTCCCTGGCACAAGTTCATGTGCCACATAAAGAAATCTCTTTTGTTATTGTTGACATCTCATCTTTGAAGAGAAATGACATTAGCTATCTTAGTTACCTACCTTATTCAATAGATTTCTCTCTGAGTGACATTTGTTTTTTTCCAAAAATCAAACTCATCCTCAAAACTGGGGGAGGGGGAGGGAGGAAGAAAGACAGAGAGAGAGACAGAGAGAGAGAGAGAGACAGAGAGACAGAGAGAGAAACTTGCCAATAAATGATGCCAGCATATCAAGAAGGGACCCAACAATAGCTACATTATGGGAATAAATATATAATCTCTCAAAACAACTGCTTTAATATTAGGGGCGATGCTTAATCAAGTAAATAAGTTCTGAGGTGTTTATGTAAAAACAAAACAAAACACAAAGCAGGGGATTCAGTCTCATCAAGTATTCTATGCAAAGAGAAAAATAATACTGTTAGTCTCAACATATCCATTGTGTTATTTTCAAAGTTAGCTCCTTGATTTAGTCTTAGCAAGTATAACTTTTAAATATTTTATTTTCCTCCAATTACATGTAAAAAACAATTTTTAATCTTAGCAAGTGTTAACCTTTCTAATATTCCCCAAATGTCTAGCAGATGAATTCAAGAAATCTTATTGTAATTACATAACTTTCTGCATGTCTAGTACATGTCTGTTTAAATAAATTGATTCATAGCATTTCTGTGTAGAATTCATGGAGAAATGAAATAATAGAGACTTGATCAGATAGTTGTATGAAAAAAAATAGAAGCTAAATTTCAGGTTCTATTATTACCTTAACCCTTATTTCATTAAGAAGAAACTGAAAAGCACAGAAACCGAGAAGGAAAGAGATGCCCACTTCTTGCGACAGAACAGCAGTTTCTGCCTCAACAATCTATGGATCAAATTTGATTCTAATCTGAAAGTACTCACTATAAATCAGGCCCCACACATTCCTGCTCTACTAGAAAGACTATGCAGGATAATGTTAAGACATTGTTTGACTTACTTATAAGTGTTTTTTCTTTGTCATTGGTAAATTTGTGGGGAAAATAACCTTATGAAAATCAGATTTAATCAAGAGACTAATGGAAATGGAATTCATTATTCCTTACAAACCTAATAGGACTTAATTTCTTAGCTTGAGGCTATTCTCTTGATGGTCACCAAACAAACAGCACATGGTGTTTCATGAGTTTAACACATTTTAAAAAATAAAATGTGACAAGTTTTATTAAATAAATTATTGCTTCCATCCCCTTCCACTTCATTCAAAAGAGCCACTATAAGCTTGCACCTGTAAGAATGAGACAAAACATTCTAAAACCTGACAGGTAATGAGGGTATTGAATAGTAAATGTGGTATATAATTTTCATGGTCATAGTAGGTTTCTAAGGGTGTCCTTGGGAAAAAGTAGATGATGTTGTACAGTTAAGTTTGAAAAAGGTTTCTGAGTATGAAAAAACAAGGTTTAGTGTTACTGTAGCAACATTTAAAAAAGAAAACATTCTTTCATTCCATGTTTAGCTGCTATAAATATATAGATCTAATTAACCAAAGCTCACTACAAATAAAAAACTAATCAGTCCATTAAGAAACATTTAAGCACTTACTATGTGGAAAGCACTGGGGATATAAAGAAAGGCAAAAATAGTCCCTGTCCTCAAGGAGCTTACATTTTAATGCAGAAGGGTGTACAATATACAAAAAATTATACCCGTGACACATGTATATTACCTTCCATTTACTATATGTATACATTATGTATGTATTATTCTATATTCTATATAGTATATATATACACACACACATACACACAATTAACAGTAAATAGAAAGTAATAACAGAGGAAAGGCATTAATGGGAGGACAGGGTAGAAGGGAGGAGATCCCAGGGAAGGCCTTCTATAGAAGGTGGGGTTTATGCTGAATATTGAAGAAAGCCAGGAGGTAGAGATAAGTAAGGAAAGCTTTCTACGTATGACTGAAACATTGAAAAGGTCCAGAGTTGGAACATGGTGTTATGTGCAAGGAATGGCAAGAAGAATAGTATACAGTTTCTTTCACAACATAACTAATATGGAAATATGTTTTGCATGACTGAACATGTATAACTTTTATCTGACTGCTTGCTTTCTCAGCAATGGGGGAGGTGAGGAAGGGTGGGAGAGAATTTCGAACTCAAAATTATAAAAAAAAAGGTTAAAATTGTTTTCACATGTAATTGGTAAAAAAAAAATTATTAAAATTAAAAAAAGGATAGTACACTGAAGGGAGTGGAAAGGGCCAAAGTAAGAAAAGATTTAAGTGCCAAATGGAAAATTTTACATTTGATCCTTCACTCTAACTACATTCTAGAGTTTCACTCAGTACAAGAGGGCAGAAATATGCGAACTATTAAAGTTTTAGTTAAGATGAATATTCATTTGGATCTCTCCAGATTTGAAAAAAAAATTTCCAATGTCCTCCATCTCATCCAAATGTTTTCTTCTCTTTTTCACATTGATACATTTCTATACTAGTTTATATATTCATGAACTTCAGTGGTACTCTGTCAACAGCTTTATCAGGTATGATTTTTTTGAAAAAAGTATACCTTTCCATTGACATATTCTTGTTAAGAATTCCATAAAATTGTGATCATACCTGTGAGAACATCTTTACCTCCTTGCTTGTTAACTATAAACTTATTCCGTATACTCACCTACAGAACATATAAGCATCTTAGAGTACCCCTTTCTTAATAGCAGGTGACGGTTCAATTGAACTTATCATTATGGTGACTGACAGTGACTGATAGGTACTAAGTTACTTTTTGGTAGATTAATTGATTTAGCACATGAGTTCTCAGCCTTAGTTCTGTGAACTTATTTTTTTAAATATGTTGATAATTGGATTTCAATATAATTAGTGAGGTCTGTGAATGAAAGGGACTTTATTTAAAACCAAACACTACTAAATTGCAAGATCATCTCAGGAATCAAAACAAGATGCTCAGATTATGGGAAATGTATGGAAAACTTTCGGTTCTGGAAAACTTCAAAACTTTGGAAATTCTGCTTCTATGTCTGGTTTAGAACTTCCACAGATCTGGAAAGTCACAAGTGCATGAGGTTGTTTTTCTTCCTAATTCAAAATTGCTATAACTTGCTCTTCATCTTCTTTCCCCATACACCACTAATGAATATCCCATTCTGTCCCCTTCCCCCATCTCTAAGATCTAGACAAGCAGTGTTACCTGTCAGAGGCCTGTTTTCCTTAGCAATAGCATTTATCAGCCCAACAAAACATGCTGGTTTAACCACTGAAACAAGATTATGGGGCCTATCTGGCAATTACAGTGTAGTGCCCTCAGGAATAATAACAGGATGTGATTTGGAAATTAACAGGAGTGTCTCTGTTCCGAGAAATTCAAAATCTTTCACCTCGGGCTTGTTAATATGGTACTCTTGGGCACTGGTTGAAATGAGAAACCTCAAAGAGCTAAAGTACAGTGTTTAAGATTCAAACTAGCCACAGAAAACTCATTTTTAGAAAAATTTAGATAAAAAATTAGAAAAAATTTTCATTTAGAAAAAAATATTCATTGGTTAGATGCTATTAACATATTCCTCTGTTTAACTTAACTCCACTGGGGGTGGGGAACCATTTTAAGAAGTTCACCTTACTCAAAACAATAGAGAGGCAAACACACACAGATTACTGAAGGTGTTAGTTATAATGTCCATTTGAAGCTGTCTAGATAAACTAAATTCCACTATCATCCACAGCTCACTCTGATTCCCTACTGTCTCTGACATGATGAATTCATTTTTGCTTAATGTGTAAATTAAGGGGACTAGATAATCACTGACTCTTTCCCCCATTAAGACTAGAAGCCCAAAGAGTATAAGGAAGCTACATTCTTTAAGGACTTCCAGGAAGGTTTGCTCAGGCTGTGGGTATTATTAAATAAGGATTTGTTATCACACCTAGATACTGACTAAGAATTAGGATTAAGAAACTTGATACAAAGAGCTGGGATGGACATTTAATTTCCTATAATGGACAAGCTGGAAGGTACATGAAAGAGAGGCATGTATGTGGAACTGGGGTTGAATGGGGTGGAGGGAGACAGAGACAGAAAAGTAGAGAGACAGAGAGAGAAGAAGAGGAAGCACAAAAAGAAGGGAAGGATAGAAGACTACTTGACAGTGATGACACAAAGATGGCATGTGGCATGTGGCAGTATCAAGAACTTCAAAGAAAAAAATCTATAGCGCAGCTTTCATTAAATATAGAATGCTTCTATTGCCATGGAGATGACATGCTTAAGCAGACATTAGCAGTTTCAACTCTGCCATTTTCTTGTTATCTCGTGCTTCCAATATGATCATACATAGCTTCAGCCTCTGTGTGTGTATATTTTTAGCCATTTGTCCATTTTATTAGGGTTAGCTTAGTTAAAATTAGATATTCTGATGCCTAGCAAATACTTGTTAACTGACTGACTAATGTAATTTCTAAAGCCACTTATATAGGCATCTATAACTGTAACATCCTAATACAGGTGGCATGGTGGGGAAGAGTGCTTGACCAAGTCAGGAAGACCTAAGTTCAAATCTCTCCTGGAATATTTATTAGCTGGTGACCCTGGGCAAGCCACTTACTTAACTTCTCTCAGTCTCAGTTTCCTCATTTATAAAATGGGGACAATAATAGCACCTATCTCCCAGGGTTGTTGTGAGGATCAAGTGAGACAATAATTGTAAAGT